GAGCACTGCACTGTGAAAGGAGCAGTACTGAGGGAGCACTGCACTGTAGGGGGAGCAGTGTACTGTGAAAGGAGCAGTACTGAGGGAGCACGGTACTATATGAGGAGCAGGATCAAGGGAACGCTGTATTGTGTGAGAAGCAGTACTGCTGGACTGTTGTATTGTAAGATAGGCAGTACTGAGGGAGCGCTGCACTACAGTGGGAGCAGTACTGAGGGAGCGCTGCCCTGTAGGGGGCATAGTACTGAGGGAGCGCTGCACTGTAGGGGGCACAGTTCTGAGGAAGCGCTGCACTGCAAAGGGAGCAGTACTGCAGGCGAAGCAGTACTGAAGGAGCATTGTACTTTTGAAGGAGCCATACCGAGGGATCAGGGTCCAGCGTCAATATATATAGGTGCACAGAAGCTTGTGTGGGATATATACCGGGTGTCCAGTAATCAAACATATATTCTCGATATGCAGAGCACAGTGCAGGTATATAGTGATCAGTGTAAATATATAGGTGTACAGTGCTCAGTGTGAATGTACGCTGAATGGACAATGCTCAGTGTACTTATATATTGATGTGGGATGCTTGGTGTGGGTACATTCATTATGGGTATATATCAAGCATAGGCCTGTGTCCAATGCACAATATTTCCCTAACCCATACACGATGATGTGGGTATATACTGAGTATACAGAGCTTGGTGTGAATAGATCCCAGGCGAACAGAAAGATGTGGGTACGTATACAAACATACAAAATGGCACAAGTGGGCCATTTACACTTTCGCCTGCTTTACCAATCAATATGCTTATGGGTGGTTTGTTTGTGTTTTGAATTCCACAATAACAACTACCTGTGAAAACCTGTGATTGCCTTGTCTAACAAGAGTCTATCTACCTCCGCCTTAAAAATAGATCAATAACCCTGTTTCCACTGCCTTCTCAGGCACACAGCTCTAAAATCATACAACCCTCTGAGAGAAAACATATCTTATCTCTATCTTAAAAGGGCACTGACTAATTTGAAAACAACATTCCCTGTTTCTGAAACTAACCCTCAAGAAGAAGCATCCATTCTGTGTCCATCTTGTTTAGACCATTCATGATCTTCCACACTTCCATCAAGGCACCCCTCACTTTTCTAAACTCAAGCGCAAACATGGCCAGCCTGTCCAACATATCCTCATAAGATTTTCTGACTGATGATCTAACCAGTCACTCATCTTTTATTGTATTTGTTCATGTTATGTGGGCGTCCAAGGCTAAGCCAGAATTTATTGCCCATCCCCAATTGCACAGAGGGCAGTTGAGAGTCAGCCATTTTGCCATGGTGAGATTTGAATCCATGTCTCAAGAGCATTAATTAGCCTGTGGTTCTAGATTACTAACACAATGACGTTACTGCTATGCAAATGCCTCCTAAAAATGGAATGTCAACTTTTGTTATAAAGAATTAAAGAAATAATGATATTGTAATATAATAATATATGGTCTCTATGAAATAGTAATGTGTGTAGGTGTCTTTTACCCAAAAATACTTATCCCATTGGGAGCGCAATGTAGGGTTCACTTGGTTAATTTTTGGGATGAAAGGATGTCCTCTGAGGAGACATTGAGTATACCAGGCCTATATTTCCTGAAGTTTGAAAAAATGCCCGGTGATCTAATTCAAAATCCATAAAATTCTTAAAGGGACTTGGCTGAAGAATCTAGAACATGTGGTCACAGTCTATGAATAGGAGGCTAATTATTATGGGCTCAGGAGAGATGATTTCACACAGATGGTTGGAATTGTTTACCCCAGAAATCTTCGGATGCTTCATCATCGCGTATACATTTCAAGACAGAAATTGATAGATTTTTGAATACCAAGGGAAAAGATTTACAGGATGTTGCTGGGATTGGAGATTTGAGCTATAGAGAGAGGCTGAATAGGCTGAGGCTATTTTCCCTGGAGCGTTGGAGGCTGAGGGGTGACCTTATTGAGGTGTATAAAATCATGAGGGGCATGTACAGGATGAATAGCCAAGGTCTTTTTCCCAGGGTAGGGGAATCCAAAACTAGACAGCATAGGGTTTAAGGTGAGACGGGAAAGATTTAAAAGGGCCCTGAGGGGCAAGATTTCATGCAGGCGGCAGCGTGTGCATTGAACGGGCTGCCAGAGGAGGTGGTGGAGGTGGGTACAATTACAACATTTAAAAGGCATTTGGATGGCTATGTGAATAGGAAGAGGTCAGAGGGATATGGACCAAATGCTGGCAAATGGCACTAAATCAGTTCAGGATATCTTGTCGGTATGGACAAGTTGGACAGAGGGTTTGTGTCCTTGCTGTACAACTCTATGACTTAAGGGATATGGGGGAAGGGCAGAAAAGTGGAATTGAGATGGGAATCAGTCACCTACTGAATGGTAAACCAGGTTCTTGAAGGCAAATGAGAGCACTCTCTGCTCCAATTCTCAGTGTAGAGGGTATTGCTGATATTTACCTCTTGCTATGCACTGTCTCTGGGTGGTAGCTTGACTCTGATGTGAAGAATATTCCCTGTCTGAACAAGAGCTGCTCTCACCTGATGCCTTCTCTGATGAAATGTCTTCAAATACCGTAACTTTCCAACAAGCAGCCCCTTCAGAAACAAACTGGGCCAGTCCTAATGACTCCCCAAGTAGCAGGATTGGCAAAGGAGGATCCAGCGGTTAAAGGTTAATCTTCCTGACACTACTGCAAAACAGAGAGAAAAAAAAGGATAAAACTTTATTTCCATTTTCTTTGGGCATCTTTGTATTTGGTTACAAAGCATCAGAGATGGGAATATGTCCCCCATTTGACTGAATGGGGCAGCTTGAGGTGGCACGTATGAAACCTTGGGGTATTGTCTTTTGATTTGTGTCTATCTGATAGATGCCAAATAAAGACAATTATATTCAAAATATTTTTGAAATTGTCACTGTTTTGATAGTTTGTAAATACAGTAAAAAGGCAAGTCTGTCTTTATGATAGGCAGACAGGTGGCTGGAAAAACACAGCAAGCCAGGCAGCATCTGGAGGAAAGGAGCAGTCAACGTTTCGAGTATTACTCTTCTTCAGGACTGTCTTTAGGCTTCTGGTAAGTTTTCACTTCGGTTACAGTAAAGTACCCCTTTCCAAAGGGGTTGATAATTAATTTATTTTCAGAGGAATACGGAGAAAGACTGTTGGACCATTTGTACTGGTCAGCGAGGAGGCAGATAGGCTGAAGTCTGTAATGAAAATCTAGGATTGAGTATAAAAAGTATTGAGTGTCAGAGGGTCTGAGACACAACAGGGGAATGAATTCACTCTGACCCAGAAACCAATTCCCAAATCCTGGGTGATGGGTTTGGAAGGAATGGAGCCTGGTCTAGGGGAGTTACAGCGAGATTACACAGAGTTGGAAGAACACAAAATCAAGAACTGTGTTCCTCCAGCTCCACACTGTGCTGTCTCTGACTGCAGCATCTCCAGTTCTTGCTATCTCTTACACAGAGACAGTAACCGTGTTATCTCTATCTCTTACACAGAGACAGTAACCGTGTTATCTCTATCTCTTACACAGAGTTGTTTGTTCAAGAACTGGTTCCGTTAAAAAAACGTCAAACTACTGGGGAAGAAGGGAAAGGACAGTGTGCCCGGTATCGGGGGGGAGACGGGGGACA